CCAGTTATACCTTAAAATAAAAATGTTACTTAGAGAGCCAGAAAATGAAGCTCTGAGATAAAAAAAAGTATGGGCATGAGTATGAGTCAAAGGGGAACATCACAATACCTGACCTCCCCAAACAACATGGAAAGTGACCCACAGCACCAACCGCAGGAGTTTAATCTATACTGGTGCGACAAGTGGCAGCTCCACAGCCTGCATTTGTGAGGGCATGAAAACAGTGTGCTCAAGTTCCTGTGAACAAGCAATTCCATGAAAGACATGGAGGAAACTGACTTGTATACTAGTAAGTAAAAGAAGTCAATCTGAAAATATTGGGGGATCCTAACTATGACACACTGGAAAAGGAAAAAACCATAGAGAGAGTAAAAAGCTCAGAAGTCACCAAAAGTCAGGGCCAGGAGGAGGGAGGAATGGCCGAGCACAGCAGAGGATTTTTAGAGCAGTGAAACTTTTCTCTACAGTACCATCATGGTGGATGCACGTTATTACACAGTTGTCCAAACCCATACAGTGTCCGACACCCACAATGACCCCTAATGCAAAGTATGTGCTCTAGGTGATGATGGAGCTCCATTAGTGGGATTGCAGCAAATGCACACTCTGGCGTGGCATGAGCAGAGGAAATTGTGCACAGCTGGGAACAGGGGAGACACGGCAGCTCTGTACTTCCAGTTTTGCTGTGAATCTTAAACTGCTCTAAAAAAAAAGTCTAAATTTTTTAAAAAAGCAATTTCAACTCAGGTTAACTCTTTCCTTTTACTAAACCTATTAAATTAAAAGGTGTAGGACTATATTTAAGGCCTTTCTTTAAAAGGTCAGGACGGGGATTTAGCTCAGTGGCAAAGCACCTCCCTGGCAAGCACAAGAACCTGAGTTCTGTACCCAGCACCAAAAGTATAGAGTCCTATCAATAGGACTCGCTACCTCATTTAGGGCACCAACTGAACAATGAACATATGGGCCTCCTTGTTAAAAAAAATACTAAGAATTTCAAGATGGTGGTGGTAGACCACTGAGTCAAGTATAGGGTTCCTTAAGAATAGACGGGTCACATAGTCCTAAAGATAAATCTGCATATTGTCAGTATCAAGAGCCTGGGACATCTTGAGGGGAAAAAAGAGCAGAGCTGTTCAGCCCTTGCTCCCTGATTTCCTGTTCCTGTGTCACATGTTCACTGTCCTTTCTAAAGTGGCTGTCATCAGAATGCTGTGCTTAACATCTGTAGTTCATGAGATCCTTCTCATTCTGTCAGGCAAGTGCTACTTTGCGCTTTTGTTACAAAGAGGATGAGATTCTAGGTATTTGATCAATAAAGACTTGGGATCATTGGAATACATAGTTGAGATGTTCAAATTTAAGATCAACCAAAGCAAAATAAAATTTGCACAAATCAGATGAAAATAAAAATGGAACTGATAAGCGATAAAGTGAATTCTACTCATACGATGTTACTGTGATATGCGGTTGCCAAATGTGAACTGTTTAGGTACCTAGAATCATATCCAGAAGCATCATAACACTGTATGTTATCAGGAAGCAATTCTGTGATCAAGACTATGGTAGTGGCTTACTATCATTCTTGTAAGAGATGGAAGTCTTACTATGTTGTCCATGTAAGAACTGAATTCTTGGACTCAGGAGACCCCTCTGTCTCACTCTCCCAAGTAGCTGAGACTACAAGAATATGCTTTTGGGCCTGCTCTAGTAGCAATTTATTGAAGATATTTTGCCATGACTTCAAGCCTCCTGACCATTAGTACTAGTGCCAGGAAATTTTTGCACAAAGGTTATTGGGCCCTAGAATATGACTAGCTATTTGCCCTGAGGTTAAAGGGCTACTGTTGTTTTAATAATCCCAACGCTCCACATCTGGCCTGCTACTGGGTCAGTGCACTGCTCTTACGTTATTATAGTACAGGCTCTTAGCAGAAGCTGGGGCCAGCGACTGGAATGCCAGCAAGAGCTTTGGCTAATATACACCCCTTCACTGTTCTGCCTTCACCACCTTGGATCAGTGTGGGCTGAGAAGCATACTGACCTGCATTTTACACATTCTAGTAAGTCTGGCCAAGGCAGTAAGATCCTAGTAGAGGACTGAGAGTCTCACCAGGGTGAAGAATTAAGTGTTTGCGACTACTCGTAACATCTCTAGGAACTTTGCCCTCTCTTGGGATAGAGGTACTCTAGTAGCAGGGCTTTTCTGCTGTTTCCTCCTGCTGATACCAAGTGTGAACGTCTTGGGCTTGAAGTGATGATCACCTCCAGAACAAAGCTGGGTGGGAGACACTTGCAGGCTTCTGATCCTAACCAGAACAAAGTCCACAAAAGTGTGGTGAGCTCCTTACAAGTTAGATTTTCCTGGTTGACCCAGGTATAGAGATGTAAACATTTGTAAACGTGCAAGGAAACTATTTGAGATCTAATCTTCATTGTGCACTCAGGAGTCATGCTCTATTCTACGCACTTTACCTCTGACTCACCCAGTTCTTACAATCTTCATTTTACAAATGGGGAAATAGAGGCATGGAGTATGTGATGGTTAATCTTGATTGTCAACATGATCAGATTAGAAGGTATATGGAGAGGAGACTACATTGTGAGTGTGATAACCTCACTAATTAACCATTTAATGAGCTCATAGGTGAAAGGGCTATTAGACAGTGAGGTCTAGCTGGGGGATGATGGTTACTGATGGGCATGACTTTGAGAGGTGTATCTTTTCTTGGGCTCTTTGTCATGCTGTTTCCCAAATGTCATGAGATGAGCAGTTTCTCTCCCAGGCCCTTCTGCCGTGATGTTTCTGCCATGGAGCTGATGATTGACTGAAACCTCTGAAACTGTGATCCAAAATAAACTTTTCCTCCTTTAAGTTATATATCTCAGGTGTTTTGCTCCAGGAACAAAAAGCTGACTAACAGAGTGTGACTTGTCCAAGGAGATTCATATGGGAGGAAAAATGGAAAAGCCCAAGCAGAGGGCAGAAGTGGTGTTCTCAATGTCTGTACTGTCATGTGGACCCATAGAAACTCCTTACAAATACATCAGAGAATCAAAACAAAAGAATGGCTCAAGCTCCAAATCAATACAGGGCCCTCCATGAGTTATGTGACTTAAATGCCAACCTCAGTTTGTTGAGATTTATCATCATCAAATAAAATTTAGGCAAGAGGTGACTTGTCCACACATCAAAGCTCCGAGCAAAGCTGGAATTTTAACTCAAGTGTGTCCTGATGCCTCATAGCCATCTCTTTCCTACCATCCCTAAGTCCGCAACTTAAGACATCACATCTGGGTTTGACTGTTTTACTGCAGGCCAAGAAGGTAAATTCTACAAGGTGTGGAGAGCCCAGAATGACAGTAGTAGGCAGAGACTACATGTCTCCTAACTTTTATGTCGAACTCCTGAAATGGAGGCCAAGGAAAAGAAAGAACATGGTTTGTCCCCAATACATCTATTAGCAGAATTATGAGAAATTGTATAAAATGGTTCAAATAATACTGTTGTTAAAGTGATAAGTGTTTAAAATTACTGAAAGGGAAGAAAATAATGTTTCCACAGATGCAAGTAACCTTAGAAAAGACTTTTTTTCCTGAAAATGTCTCATCCAGCTGGAGTAAAAAGAAATAAAAGTGAAATGGGAAGAAAACGTTCAAATAGAAAGGAGAAGTAGGGAGGGAAGAGAAGGAAAGGAAGGAAGGAAAAAAAAACAAGAAAAGAAGGTAATAGTGGAAACAAAGCTTCTGTAAATAAGGAGGAGAAGAAGGGTTAAAGGGAAGAGAGAGGAATGGGGAAAAAAGAACAGTCAAGATAAATCATGTACAGGTATAATCCCTGTGATGAATGTGATCATTATGAATGTCTACAGCATACCAATAAACTCAATTAATTAAAGAAAAGAAATAAAAGGAAACATGAAAGTCAGTAAAAGAATAACATGAGCATGAAAGGCCATCATCAATCTTCTATTCAAATGACAATCATGGCTACAATCTAAGCAAGAGGAAATTTTGTTCAGGGATAAACTAACAATCTAAGCAAGAAGAAATTTTGTTCAGGGATAAACTAAGTCTCTAAGAATACACTCAGTTAACAAGTGATTTAATCACATACCTGATTCTTAAGTCAAGCAAATGAATCTAGAACTAATGGTTTAATGGCCTGTAGTTTAGAAATCATAACTATTTTATTAAAAAAATTAACAAAAAAAACTCCAGTGAAGTATTCTATGTATAGACCAGTCACTCTCTTACACATTTTAAAGGCATTAACTGGATGATTTTCTCTGGCTAGATGTGATGTGGGCACATGAACAAAGAGTGAGGACAGAGAGAAGAACAGAGAGAAAACCAAGTAAGGACTCAAGGAACAGAGGCACAGCCACGGCCAGGAAAAAGACACAGCCCTAAGTGTCAGTTACTTTTTCATCACCAAGACCCAATACCCCACACTCACAAGTTAAAGGAGGAAAGCTTTATTTTAGCTTACAGATTGTGGAGGTTTCAGTCCATAGTCAGCTGGCTCCAAGGCACAGCAGTGTGGTAGAATGCATCATAGAGAGACAGTCCATGGCATGGCAGGCCAGAAACAGAGAGATAAAGAGAAGAGCAGGAAGAGACAGACCCAGGGCTCACCCCCAGGGACCCCCTCCTCTGACCAGACACCATCTCCTAGGAGCAAGTGTGCCATCCAATCACCTCCCAAAGCCCACTGATGAGCACGTGAGGATTGGGGGGGCGCGACACTCTGTATATAAACCATAACACCCTGAGATGAGAGTTCTGCTTAATTCAAATTCTACTCTTCATCAATAAACTTAGATAGTGGACCCCTGAGGCAGTTTAAGTATGAAATAAATCTATATCTTCTTCACTGCTTTTAAGAAAACTAGAAATCCTTTTTGTAAGCCAGGCAGTTCATAGAGATGCAATCTGAATTTTTATATATAGATATTAGGCAATATCACATTTTAATAAATACTAATAATGCAATATAGTAAAATAAAAATAAATTTATTTAAGGAAAAATATACCATATTTCCTTGCTTGACAAACTTTTGTGCCCAGCACAGTGGATATCAGTTGTTACAACGGATGACAAGTACTGCAGTTTACTGCCACATGTCACTTGTGTCCAATCAAAAGTCAGCGCACCTGATACATGGTGTGTTTCTAAGTCAGCCCACCGACTGTGCCCGCACACTGCTGAGGAAGAAAATTCACAGGAAAATAGGTGGGGAAAATGTCCACTGCAAAAAGTGTTGTTGATTTAAATGTGATCTTTAAATGGCTTTTGCAACCAACTACACATCTGTGCAAATCAAAAAATAACAAGAAAGTCTTTCAACCCAAGAATCACTTTTAAAACAAATCCTTGCCTGACAATAAACACATATCTTTAAATATAAAACTTTAAACATCTGCGTTTTGCACACTCTGAAATGCGACTTTCCCATGTATGACTATTATCATGTCACAAACTGGCAGACTAACAAAGAATTTCATTATCACTGCTCAATTGCACTAATTCCCAGCAGTAGCCTGTGGTCTTCTATTCTTTTTTCTCCAAATTTATATAAGAAGGAACTTTAAAACTTCAGTCATGGTCAGCCAGCTGACGTTTCTTCCTCTTTCTTGGTCCACAATTAATAAGACAATCCTTTTAGAAGTGCTGGTCCAGGGTATTTGAGGTCCCACGGCACTGCAGCTGGATAGGGAGGCCTGAAATTTGTCTTCCCAGAACTTCAGTTAATAAGAATCAACTGGTCATCACTTCCTCTCCTGTAATAGGATGGGGGAGGAGGAAAAGAAGAGAGCAAAGACTTAAAACTCTTTACCAAGAAATTGGAGTATACTGTATGTATATTCTAGGCACATATAACTTAAATTTGGAAAACATGTAAGAGGAAGAATAAGTAAGAAGGATAACTGACATTATTTGAGATGTCATCTGTCATGGTCACCAGACACCAATCCCTGAGGACCTAGCCTCAATGAGGTCCTTCTCTAATATTTACTTGCCATTCATAGCCTTCCTCAGATTTGCTTCATTTTTTTGTTCCCAGCCTTTAAGCATAACAAGATAAAGTTTTTGATGGGGTCAAAGGTACCACTTGTCTTCAGGGTCCCCATTGCAATCTATTTCTTCCCACTGTGACATGTGACCTTCATTTACTCTCTGCAGGGCCCTTCCCATCCCTATAAGGTTGATGCTTGGGTCTGAAGATTCCACCAACATCACTCTTGCAGCCTTCACCAGGACCATCTTTTGGACAAGCTTAGTAACAGACACTTCTGAGTTTTCTTTAATATCTTCTTTTTCAAAACTTGCATCATCCAGCTTGCTTAACAGGTGGATTGTTTCTTGGTAACTCTGTTTGCTTTGGTTCTTTTGTTCCTACAATGGGCACATATTCCTTCTCACCTTGCATCTTCTGAAGAACCCCAGGGTATGGCATGGCAACCAAAGGTACACCCTTCTCCCCGTGCAGACCCAGTCTTAGTGATAAGGTTTCCAGATTATTCTAAGAGGTTGCATCAGAAAACATTTAATAGCCTCCTAGGGCTCTGTGTGATGCAAACCAAGAACACCAGAGCCACTTTTCAGAATTCACAGCTGCATTTTCCAATAAACATTTCCCTTTAAAGTTAACTACATAACAGAAAAGTGACTCCAAAAGACTTCCTTTATCCTGACTGATTCTTAGGAGGCAGTAGCCTATTAAGAAAATTGTTTTTTCTTTATCCCAATTTCTTCAGCAATAATTGAAGGCTCTGAGAAGATGAAATGTGATCTGGAAAACTTACCTCTTCTCAAAAGACCTTATTTCATATTTACTGGACATTCTTTGGATAGGCTCAAATCATTTCAAATCCCAAGACGCAGTATAAATTGATTTACAGAAAAATATATCCTGTGGTTTAAGTAGCAATTACATTCTCTCATCTTCCTGGAGAAGTTGAATTTAGAGAATCCTTTCCAAAAATGATAGCTGTGGTGTACTTTAAGTCGAAAACTCCTACCCCTAGTTTCACATTAGAACACATATGGGCACATTTAAGAAACTATCCTCATCCGACTCCAATTCCAGTCCCCAAACTACCGCATAGTACCCCGTGTCCAGTGTGGTCCAGACTATTTTCTAAAGGATCCAGACAAACAGCAAGCGAAGTGCAGCTGGCCAAGGAACAGTTACCATTGTGTATCTGTCACCAAGGACGCATGGGACTCCTATTCTACTCAAGGTCATGTAGGCCACATACTGTGAAATAAGAAAATTGCTTTGGACAGTCTCAGAGCTGTGCCTCCAAAAACAAGAGCTCTGACCTCTTCCTTGGGCCATCCATCTTAGAGTTCAGCCTCCTGACTTTAAGGATATCACTCATGCCTTCTTGCAGGGGTTTCTTGACAACCCGAAGGGATGCAGATGGTGCCATTTAGCTTTACACAAAAGCTTGTTTTACAAGAAATGATTCATTTCTAGAGTCAGTTTTTGTGGGAGGAAAGAAAGAAAGTTGAATTGTTTCCCACAATAAGCCAATCTCAGGGCTGAAAATCTCATTAACCTTGGGATAACTCTTCCTTACGGCAAAAGAGGAGTTCACCTCAGCATTAAAAAGACTGAACACACACAAAAAAAGACTGAACACAGTACTGACCTCCTCAGGCAGCAGGTGCAGGACAGGAAGGCGGAGGGTTCTTTCTGGTACTCTTCTTTGCTGCTGCATTCCTTCAGGAATTCCTGCAGATCTGTCTCAGGAAAGCCATTCTGCTGATATTTCTTTTAAAAACCACACAATGCTGTTATTTTATACAGTATGAGAAACTGTCCCTGGGACAACAAGCCAAATTCACCTTGGCTAACACAAAACTCTCCCACAGTGCTAGCTCAGATCCAAGAACTGCTATTAAAACAATGATGAATCAATCTGTCAAGTCCCATAACAGCCAAGCCAGGGCCACCATGGGAACAGAGAACAATCCAAAAGAAAGCTCCAGAAAGTCTTGGAAGGGTGTGCCCAAAGGAGGATGAAGGAAATAGTTCAAAGTCTAAAGTTAGAGAGCCACTACCAAGACCAGATGAGACTTCCAATCCACACACTGCCAAATGGACGACTCTGCGTCCTTTACTTTTTATGGAAGGTGGCTGCTGAGTGAGACAGAAGGCAGATTTTTCCAAGCAGACACAAAGCCCCTAGGGCCCTCTTAGTGAAGTCAAGCTTTTCTCTTTTCTGCCAGGTGCTGAAGTCTCATCTCCCACACTCATCTCCCCACTGTGCCAGTGGTCTGGCTTTCCTCTTCATCAGTCTGGAGAAAGTTAAGCAGATGATGGCACCCAAAGGCTCCAATTTAGTCCTCCAAACCATTCAAGCCCTAGATCCAAAGTAGGGTTCTCCAGGTGTGAGTGCCTACTTTGGAGACCCCAGCACTTGAGGAAGCAGAGCTTCTCACAGCTACAAGTTAGTTAAATGCGTCCAGTCTGGAAGGCCAGCACATCAGGTAGCTTAGGAAAGTAGGAAGCTAAATAGCAGAAAAGCCTTTGCTTTCATTATGTAAAAGAAAGTTTGCACTGTACAAGTAGCCACTGTCCAGTGTAAGGATGCCAATACCTGAAAATACACAACCTTAGCTCTCAGTTCCAAGTAGCCATGCAGACAGCTGCACTGGTCAGTGCCACTAGCAGCCCAGGACTTAGCTCACCTTCTCTTTTCTGGTCTCTTTATCACAGCACCCATAAACTCACACACTCCAATCTGATTAACAGGAATAAGATCCTAAATCTATATTTGAAATTAGTTTCTAGCATCTAAAAGTTTTGCTCTCTACAGAAATCTCAAAACCTAAATACAACGATAATATCCTATGTGACTATTACGCCACGTTCCAAGCCATACAGAATTTGCATTGGTTTTTGGCAGCAAATACTGGTACATACCTTAATGGTGTCATAAGAATCTGTAATAAGTGCAATAAAAAGGCTGAGAATCATATATATGAAAAGGCTGATGAAGGAATACAGGTACAGACGGCTGAACAGCCACACCAAGATGCTCTTCTGCTGGATTTGAGCAAAGGTGGCAAACATGTCATCACCGTTGACCAGGGAAAACAGGCATTCAGCGACTATGTTCAGATTTTCAAACTGTAGGGAAGGAACAGAAATTAGCTTCTGAGGTGAGACAAAGGAGCATCCTACCAAGCAGAGAGATGCCACTAGCTTGTTAGCGTAAAGTTGTTTTTATCCGTAGTAGAAGTAACTTAGTAACTGACAGCTAGAACATGACAAGAGTAGGAAACCATTCAAAATCACACTCTTCGAGATGATACCTTGGTATTTCCCTTGGGTTCTTCCTCATGTTTCTGGTCATGTCATCTAATGAACTTGGATCCTGATGTTTTTTCTACTTAACATAAACATCTTCTTATCTTATTCACGTGTAGAGAGCATTTGCTATCTAACAGGTCATTTTTTGACAGTCCTAAATGAATTATTTCTCTGCTACTAGACATTCAATATTTGCTACTATAAAGAACAATGTAATGATTTCTATGCATAATGTTTTTTTCCTGGTATTGATTAAAAGTTGTTAAACCTCTCCCCCGATACTGAAGAATGAAGCCAAGGCTGTCACACTGAGCTACACCTCTAGTCCTTTCAAAAAGTGCCTCTCTTGGTTTTGCGACAGCATGTTGATAAACCACTATGTTGCTCAGACTGAGCTTGAACCTGTGTTCCGCCGGCCATAGCCTTCCTCAGAGCAGGGATTACAGACATGTGCCACCATGACAGGATAAGCTGTCAGCATTTTTAAGGCTGCTATCTGTCAAATTGCTCTCTGAAAGAACTACAAACCAACACATACGGAAGGAAGTGGGACGTAACAAAGGATCGAGAAGTTTGGTTCAGTGAATGGCTTTCCTAGAGCCTTTCCAATCATGGGTCCAGGTAAAGTTGGAACTTTAAAAACTAAAAGCTGCAGAGGCAGGAAGTGTTGAAGGTGGAATAATCATGGCTGATGTCTGCTATCCTATCAAGCAGGTAAGCCATGAGATCTACAGCAGAGCTGGGGTGGGTGAAATGAGGTGAGTGGCCTTGGAATTGGTTCCCCAGTGGGAGCACAAGGGGAGGATGTGCTCAGTGACTACAGGGAAGTAGGTGCTGAGCTCAGAGCGGTGGCAGAGAGGACATCTGTGCCACACGGCCTGGGGCCTCATTGGGCCTTCTGCTTAAGGCTTCATTCAGCTCATGAAAGACACTGCACTGAAGACAGGAGTGACGGGAGTAGCAGGATAGGTTTTTTGAAGTAACCAAAGGCACGCAGGGGAATGGGAAAAGCCCACGCAGCGGGTGCTTGATGACCGTGACTGTGGGGCCAGTGGGTGAAACATGAGCTGAGTATAAAATACTCGCAAAGAGCTTCAAGGATCTAACTGGCAAAAGACTACAGTGTGTTCAGGCCATAGATGAAATGAATTACTGCACAGTTTTGAACCCAGTTCTGCCCTTAAGGATCAGGGCCCATGTGTTCATGAAGTCATTGTGGCTTTGGGGATATTCAAGTCCTCCATGAGTGTCTGAGGCATCTTCCTTTGGGAGTTGTGCTGTTGCTTCACATGCAATCAAATAAACCTCCGACCACCCGAGCCAAAGGGCTTCCCTTCCGCATTTCCCTTTGTCTTTCATGGATTCCAATCCTGCCAAAGAAATATCTGTGCCAATAGTAAAATACTTAATCACTAATCTTCCCCTTTCTCAGTCTTCTGTTCCTGTAACATCTTTTTCTGATCTATCCACTCTGCCGTCAACACTTACAACTGAATCATTACAGAAACCCCCAAGGAGGTCTCTAACCTCTTCACCTCCAGTCCAAGCAAGCTGCAGGAAAATGAAAACTTCATAAAAGATGGATTTCAGGGCACTCCTCTCTCTTAAGGTTATACAATGTCCAGACTCAAAGTAAAACTCCAAACCAAGAAGGCTGGAGTCGGCTCCTCAGCCTAGGGCCTCCCTGAGTCTCTCTCATCAATACCAACATGCTGTGCTTGTCTCCTTCCACATCACGCAGCCATTTCTAAGTCTTTTCCTCGTGGATTTATTCTCTTCATCTCCTATATTCTTTTTCCTTTGTTGTGTCTCAATATTTAAGGGCTAATTCAATGTCTTTTGCAAGATACACTACTCTGGGAGCTCTGGTCCCTTCTCTGTTCTCTGAATCTGCAACAGTTAGAGAGTAATGCTGGAATGAACTTTAACTGCTTCTCTGTGCACTTCTCTGTACCCTAGGTGGACAGCAAATGCCATCTTACACTTCTTGTCCTGTGGCTACACCTGACAGGGCCCGGTTTGAGAGTGGTCATGCTCATGCCTTTGCCAAATCAACAGCTCTAATGAGCTGGGCTAAAGTAACTCTGTGTAGAGAACTAGGGAAGATCCAGTTGAACAAAAATTTCATATAGAGATTATTCAATTGTCAAACAGGAAGTTCCCCATATAAATATTTTCCATTTTCTCCACTAGTCTTCAATCTCAAGTTAAAGCTGGTTTCCATAGACATCAGTTATAACTGGAAGCAACATCTCAGTTTCTTTTGAAATCTGGCCAATTCCTCTATTTAGTTTCAATAACTCTTAGGAGTCTGTACTTCAAGTTTCAGAACTGAAAATAGCTAGTTGGTTAGTTCTTACCAACTCTACTTTTTAATTGCCTGTATAGTTACTCATTAGCAGTACAGACACAATATCTATCTCACCATAATGCTATTCATAACTGTTGTATCTCTTTCCTATGTGCGCATAAGAATTATTTTACTCTAGCAAAATATTAAAGCAGAAACCAAATAAATTAAGTGATTGATGCACAAACTGTCACTTTAGTACAATAATTGGCTCTAAACCAATTTGAGTGGCCAAACTGCACAGAAAAGAAGTTAAAATATTGCCTACATAAGGTCCTAATGTGTTTCCAGCTAGAAGGATCAAGAGGGTTTAGCCCTCAAGAGACCGGAAGCCCCTGGAAAGCAGGTATTGCTGTTTCTCTTCAACAAATTTGTTGAACATCTGTCACATTCTGGGTACCAGCCTGAACACTGGGAATGTAAGGAGAAGCCACTGTTCCTGCCTTCGAAGAACTCAATCTAGAAGAATATGACACAATTTAGTGCACAGAAGACATGTAAGAAATATTACATGGGTACTTCCTTTAAAGTCCCCAAAGATTGTATGAAACCATGATGAGAAACCAAACATGTATTTCACAAATGATAATTCTGTAGTTGAGCTAAAAAGAAGTTTTGTTTGAATGTAAACACAACCTGTAATAGCTCATGTCAGAGGATGATATAGAAGTTTATTTCAAGGGCTGGAAGCAAGAATCTCATGCAACATTTAGGTAGAAATTTTAACTGGTTTGCAATCCTTCTGAATATTAGAGACACTTGGTGTGGAGGACCACCTGGAAGACTCTCCTTGAAAGAAGAGCAATTATCTCCACTTTGGCTAAACCTGGCCCTATTTCCATGTACTGCTATGTGCAGAGCTGACAGAGATTTTTCCTTATCCCTTCAACTGGCTTTAAACAATGTATATCGGTCTGGCCGAGGTGCTGATGTGTAGTCTTTGAAGTAAGGTGACAGGTCAGTGTTTCCCTACCCTCACAGCTCCCAAAAAAATGTGCCAGCCAGGCAGAAAGGAGAGCCAGGCTCCACGCTGTCCAGTTGGAACTGAGCCTCGAGATAAGAGGCTACGACTTCCCAGGGCATAAAAGATTACATATCAGAGCTCAAGCTCCGACCCCAAAACATTAGATACTACTTCAAACTGTGTTATGCAGATTACTCTTTCTGCACACCCTTCTCTGCATATTGCAGAGCTGATTTCAGGCCTCCTACCTAGCCCAGCTCACAGCACTCAGGCACATTCTCACAGTCACCCATCCTCACGCCACTCCCTTCTTCATGAATAAATAAAACCCAGGTTTGGCCCCAGGTTGAGGTCTTTGTTCCAGTAAACCTCCATTTTGGCTGAACTTAGGACCCCTTTGGCTCCCCATAACTATAAATATGTCTCAGTGTCTTTATTCTCACTGTGGGTTGTACTGGAAGTGGTAGGTTGGAACTAACTTACTGTAATTCCAATAGCTTTTCCATGGGATTACAAATATACACTTCCCAGATCATGAATAGGTCTGGGAAGGGTTCTCTATAACTTGGCTATATCACAAAGGTGTCAGGCCGGGTCTGCAGGCTTTTATTCAGAGCATCAAAAAAGTCCAACAATTCAATTGTTCAATGCCTTGATCTTCAAATTTGTAAAATGGGAACTGTGCAAGATTATTATTTCTCACAGAAAGCAAACTCCTCTGGAAATGGAAAATCCACATTAAAGTAATGTTTAATAATTCAGATGAGGTTTGGAAGAACATCAACAGCCTCCTTCTCCCTGTGCCCAGACATCTCTAAAGGGCACAGCGCCGAAGTCCATTACTGCTGGGAATGAACATCAGCAGGACTCTGTTCATACCTTTACTCCCTCGCGTGGAATCAATGAAATTAGATGTGGAACAGGAAGACAGGAAGCTAAAATGGTGAGATGTGGGCTATCAATCAAATAGTAGTACCAAATTACAGTTTCCCTGGTACCTCCTCTTTACAGTTTGTTGTTGTTGTTTATTTTAATGAAAGACTTAACTTTCACATTCAATGTTGCTGTGATTTTAAGAAAACTAGAAAATGTCTGTGATAATGCTCAGCTTTTCTAGGTTCTGGGTGACACTGAAGTTCCTTTAGTTCAGTAGACAATGGCAGAATCTGAAAATGTTGACACTTGGGATTAATTTGGGGAGAGGAGGTACAGTGGACAGTAATATTTTCTAATTTTGGATTCAAAGAAGCAGTAATATGAATCAGGAAAAAAATTCCAAAACCAGACTGAAATTCTTGGACATTCAATGAATTAACTCAGCTATGCCTTTCCCCAATCAGTCTGGCTACGGATGAGAGGGAGGGGAGGGGAGGACTGAGTCAGAAACAAGGAGCCAGAGAGAGAGAGAGAGAGAGAGAGAGAGAGAGAGAGAGAGAGAAGGGTGGAGGGGAGAGGGAGGGGAAGGGATAAAGGGAGGCTCCCATTCAGTGGGAACCACATTACAGGTGCAGAGTCCTAAGTGCTAACCCTCACCACTCGTGAGTCCTATGTACCTGACATTTAGCTCACCATCTTTGTCACTTTTTTGTTACAAACAAGCTACCCAACACCTACAACTTAAAGGAGGTTTTGCTTACATTTTTAGGTTTTAGACATTTTTGTGTATAGTCAGCTGGTGCCAAAGCAGAAAGGGCACGTGCAGAGCCTCAGTGGAGGTCGGCTGCTCGGTTCACAGCAGCCATGAAGCACAGAGCAAAAGAAGGAGCTGGGGAGATGCATGCTCCAGGCCACCCCGCAGTGACCAGGCTCTTCTGACCAGACCCCTCCACCTCACAGCACACCAACCACAGTCTAACTGCCTTACAAAAGCCCGGCCTCTCAACACAAGAGCCTCTGGGGGGACACTGTAGCTCTAACGCATAACACTCATCCAACTTAAGACATTCAGTGAAGATAAAACAAGACACCAGATTTCAGACTCCCAAGAATATAAAAGATCTTAATATTTTACATTGCTTGCGTGCTGAGGTAGTAGTTTGGCTATATGAGGCTTAATAAAATACATAATTAAAATCAATTTCATGTTTCTTTATTATTTTTTAATGTGGCTCCTGGAATACTTTAAAGCACGCACATGACTCCCTTTTGTAGCTCGCATTATGTTTTTGTTGGATGGTGCTTGCTCAGAGGAGCCCTGTTCTCCTAGACCATTTGAAAGTACAAAACTGAACATAAGGAAACCCAGCCAGGGTCCTGGAGCAAACAGCCTTATTTTGGACTGGGTGATCTTGACACATGCATCACAAAGAGTGAGACCCATCGGGTGACTTGGCTCTCACAGTGGATGTGGAAATGCCATCCTGTTTCTTGGGTCAAACTAAATGTTCTTTTGCCATAATATGCTTTAGATAATGCCAAAAAAGCTTTACTGTGTATCAGTCAGATCCTGTGCACTGAGGTTAGGCAGACTGCGATTTGAATCCTATCTTTGCCACTTACCATCCAGGTAATCTGAAAAACAAATCATTCAATATTAAAGTCCCCCGAAGGGGAAAAGGGAGGTTAGGATTTCTGTAAAAGGATACTGATATTTCTGTAAAAGGATAGTGATATTTTCCATAGGAAAGTGGAAGAAAGCCTTAGTAGTTTGGATCTCAAAAGTCCCCTAAAGTCCCATACACTTTAGTCTCTTGCTGGTGGCACTAGTGAGAAGTGATGGAACCTTCAGAAAGTGGGGCTTGGCGAGAGGAACTGAAGTCATCAGGGATGTCCCTGGAGGGTTACTAGGACCCCAGCCTCTTCCTATCATCTTCTTTCTTTTCAGTTGCCACAAGGTGAACAGATCTCCCTCCATAATGTACCTGACACAGGCCCAAAGACAGTGAAGTCAAGTGACCGTGGACTGAAACCTCAGAAATGGCGAGCTTAAGTACCCTTTCCTGCTTAAAAGTTGAGTCAGGTATGTATTTTGACACAGTGATGGAAGGCTGACTAATGAAGGTTAACACAATGGGGGAGATAAGGAATTTGAGCACCATGCCTAACAAATAGCACTTCAGAATTTTAGCCATTTAGTAAAATTCAAGCAACATTAACTGAGAACTTTTCAGAATAATGATGGGCTGAAAGAGACAGCAGGGAGGTGTCAAGGAGACAGGACTGCTTGCTTTGAGGTTTGCCAGCTAATGAATTAAAGCCAAATCTTCAAGCTCCTGTTTACTCCACATGGTGCAACACTGCCCTCTAGTGACGAAGAACAGAAGCTTTTAGAGCAGGAGGAAAGCAGGAAGAAAAATGTAAATTTTACTGAGTGATAAGACAGAAAGTTGTCCAGCTCAGAGACATTAAGGAACAATTTTTACCCATGAGTCACCTTCAAAGCAGTGACATGGATTTGAAAAGCAATAAGTTTACTAAGATTTACTATTACCCCTGGGTCATCACTATTAATTATATGGTGTTTCAAACAGCAACTCTCTATGGGCATTTTAAATGTAACATAAAGAGAAGAAAGCCCGGCATGCTGGGTCACTGGGGTTCTTTTGGTAGGACAACAGAAGGTTTGAGGCTCACGGATTTGCTCTTCATGAGCAGTTTGCAAATCAGACTTGATCATATATTTTAGATAATGCAGCTATCAAAGTCAAAACAGTTCAATTTTGGGTTGAAGTGCTACACAATTTCCTGTATTTTTCACTCCTTCTCTCCTTGCAGAGCCCCTGAAGATGCTAGAGGTACTTGTGGAGATGAAAATGTCTAACAGGCAAGCAGCAAGTCTTAGCTGTTTGCCTGGTTTTGGTTTTTTTTTTTTTTATTGCTTTTATTGCTTTTTTTTTTTTTAATTGCTGTTGTTCCAGAAGCCACAGGACCACGGATGAAAAACTATGCGGTAAAGTAACTCCTTTTCCTTTCGTAGGCTGAGAACAAGTCCTACCTTGGCCATTTAATTTCCAGAAGAACCCCACTGAGCAAATTTATCATTTTTAAACTAGAGCACCTTCGCGGAACTGTGATGTTGTTGAGATTCCTATGCTGACTGAAGCTCAGTCCCTGTCTGAACATCAGATTCCGATCTTCAGTAAGCACAATGATGATTATGTTATCAGCACACCTGCGATGACAAGGCCTGCTCCCATTACAACCGGAAACAAAATGGTCCTTTCTGGAGGTCTTTACCCACCGTCTTTACCCCCCTTCGCTTTCTTTAACTAGCTTGGAAGGAAACCTTACCCCTTTAAACTAGAGAGACTTTTGTAATAATTTTCCTCAATTAATTTTTATTTTTTAAGATAGTGATCTTGTGCCCAAATATTCCTCATCTGATGAGCAGGGTGCATGTATGGTGACCGGCTCCGTCGGCTCTAGACAAGTCTGACTTGTGCTCGCCAATTGCTTGTCATCGCTTAAGTATCTTAAAGTCACTTTAATATCCGCAAGAAGAAAAGAAAAGAAAAACACGAAGACAGACACCTGCTTCCTTATATCAAGGGTGCACGCCAAGGAAGAGTGAGAAGAAGGTAGCGCTAGAAACCCATCAAAAAGGTCTCAAGTGCCCGGGGTACAACAGGGTAAATCAGTGCCACCCACCTTCTCATGATAGGGTCCTAAAACAATCCAGCCGCAGAATGTGTAGCCCAGATAAATCATGCCAGCACAGGCACAGAACCGGAGAACTTTTGGCAGTGAGGCTTGCATTGTTAATATGAGCATCTGAAAAATTAAGAAATTCACACAGTGGGGGAAGTGGAAAAGTAGCTATGAGAACCCAAGGAAGAAACAAACCTCAATCATGATGGACTTCCCAGTGCCAAATGCTTACATTGTATGCTTGGAAATAACCCAGGTATCTGATGACTCCAACCCAAACGAAGAGCGTAGATGTCCCAAGCAAAATGCTGCAAAGATCATAATTTGTGAGATTCTAAGGAATGAAGAAAAACAAGACAGATGAGTAAAATATTCTACTCATTCACCTTTATCTCAGTTTAAATGGTGTAGGAAGAATGGACACTGTTTTTGTTTTGTTGTTGTCTGTCTGCTAACTTGTTTTATAGCCGTGGGGATTAAAACAGGGCTTTTGTACCAAGCTACACTCTCAGCCCCTTTTATTTTTCATTTTGAGACAGTCTCAAAAATTGCTAAATTGTCCAGGCCGGGCTTAAGCTTATCATCCTCCTGATTCAGCCTCTCAGTGCTGGGATGCCAGGGATGCCCACCATGTCTAGCAGCTGTTAAGAATTTTTTTAAGACAGAGAAGAAGATAGAGAACACAGTTCCAAATGTGTGCATCTTATTTGTTTTCACGTTTCAGTTTGTTGAACTGATTTTTTCCAGATGCAATCAAAATTGCATTTACCACTGACCTGGACATAAAAAAAAAAAAAAAAAAAAAGCTAATCCTGTTTGTTAAAGACCAAGCAATGCTTCATCATGACTTCTGAACGCAGCTCCTGCTCACCAGGAATGCTAGGTCTAGCAGAGAGACAAGCACACAACCATGATGCTACTAACATAATACATCAGGAGCCATCACAGACACATGCCTGCTTCCCACGGGTGAGGCACCTGTGCAGAGCGGCACCTGCAGGACAGGCAGGAGAGTTCCAGGGGAGTGGACCAAGGCTGAAGAGGAGCATGAGGCTGAGAACTGCAAGCTGTCCCGGAAGGACGTATCAGGCCCAGGGGACAGGCAGGCGGCAGAGCCTGAGACAGCGATGAAGAGGACCCTGGCACCGTGCTGAAGGTCGCAGAGGCCGAAGGGGAGCTAACGGTAGCAAAATCACTAAGGTGGCTGAGTGGATGGATCCGGGGAACAGAAGGCTAAAGATGGGGACCCATGAGATGCTGCTTGTGGTGGCAGTGCAAGGAGGACAGGAAGCAGCAGCAGCATGACAGCCAGAGGCAGCCACGGTAGAGAAGCAGGAGGTACTGTTGCACGGAGAGGACAGCTTGCTGAGAATGACCAGCAGCACAGCACCCAAGGATAGCAATTAAGCACCAAATGAGCTGGGGCCTTGTAAAGAGAGTAAGCCAACACATTTATGCAATGTGACAGGCACTGGGTGGCACTTGAGTTACTTCTGCCCCATGCAGATCCATCTGGGCACCCAAGCGGCACAGCTGATCTTGACACACGCTCCAGCGAAAGGAAGGATTTACAGGTCAGTTGCTCCTTTCACAATTTAAAAACCCCAGGAACAGCTTTCTCAAACTTCAGTTATTATTCTGCAGATGCTGGCCAATTTCCTGGCTGATAGTTCCTGGGGATATCACACACCTGTTTCCTTCCCTGATTCATGAAGAATCAAATCAATCCACGTGCAGGGGGGTGAGAAAAGCGACAACCTGAGAACCAGCCTAGTCTTCCTCGGGATTTTATATCCGAAGATGCCAGAGGTCAGCCAGAGGAACATGCAAACAAGAGGCTGTCAGTGGGCCGCCCTCACCTTTGCTTTGATTTCCATTTTCAATATGGATCCGACTATGGTCATCAGGTCACTGATGATCACCAGGACATACCACCCGTTGACAAACTCCCACCGGTCAGCATCACACACGTGTCTCCTGTACTTCTCCAGGAAGAAATCCAGAAACCTCTAGAGCAAACATTGAAAAAACCATTTCTTACAAACCACTTCTTCTTCTGGAGAGAGAAGACACGTGCAAAATGGCGCTTTTGCCCATAAAATGACATGGCAAGTCTATTCACAGGGGAACATTAAGGAATACACTTTCCCCTGTCTGTCACCTAGCCCAGCAGTAAGTAAGGATCTGAGTGTCTGCTGGATTAACCCAAACATTAAATACATACATCTGACTCCTCCAGACTCTTATCAAAACAGCTAGCACAGTGTATCCCGAATATTTGGCATATGACCAGCTCACTCACGTTGAGGCCCTCCCCAGGACCTAGGTACTGCTCACTCAGACTTGAGCTGTGGGAACGGAGGCACAGGGAGGCTATGCCTGGCAGGACCCGAGCCCAAGCCGCCAGGCTCTAGAGAGAGTGCTCCCAATGTTGTCCCTCTTTATTTGACAGAGATAGGGCCCTAACCTTGGATTTGGAGTGTTGAGAGGATTGGAGGGCAGGTAAGAGAGGTGGGTGTTACAGATGGAGGTGGCAAGGTCAAGATAAATAAAAACCAGAGCGAAAGCTATTTTTTGGTTCAGGAATGGTACCACAATGACTTCTTCATTCCCTTAACCCCAAGAGAGATTTACACACATGTTACAAGACAGAACGAGCTTCACGAGGAGCTAGAGTATATATTCATAAGAGTCCTGAGGGCAAAAAAGGTAACATGAAACTCAACACAGAATTTTTTTAACTATTTAAAAAATACAATAAGGACGTTTACATGTCATTGTAACTCATATACCATGTTTCCCTGCCCAAAGGAGCTCTGATTTGAAGACAAAAGATGAAACCCATACATACCATTACTCTATTCTTAAGATCGCTCCAGAATTTGACAGGGTTTTATTTATTCTGGGAACATCTGAAAGCTTAAGAATGCACCACTGTGTGGCCCATGTTTGCTAGCTCAATTGTAAGCAGGATAACTAACTTGTTCCTCCTGACTAACCAGAGCCTTGAGCCACATCTATAGCTCATAGAGGCTAATGCTCAAATGAATCTGAGTCACAAGGTAAGGGAGACACAACACCAAAAGTCTACTCTTTGGTCAAACTATGAGCGCAGACCCAAAGGGAAGAGAGAAAATGCAAACACAGTTACCTTTCGTAACCTGAGAGCAAGGACAATGGATCTTGTGCACAGAACAAGAGATGCCAAGCAAATCACAATGACAAATGCATCGAACACCAGCACATACTGAGTGTTTTTCTGAGCTAAAGAACAAAACAGAGTAAAAACGTTAAGCATGAGGATAATTTCCATAAGAAGTGTTATTTGAGAATAATTTTCAAGCTAAACTGGCCAGCTAAAAAGAAGTTCAAATGGAAAATAATGTTTTGTATGTTGTCAAAATAAAAACAGCAAATCCCAGAAAGGAATCACACAGCATTCATTCAGAGGTCTATCAATAAAACGTGTCCTGATGCAAAGAGTCATGCATTTAAAAGCTATTAATAAAGGCACTAGTATGTGTGTATAAACATTAGTGTACGATTCAACAGAAGATGCTCCACCTGTGCTTCATCCTGAACAGGCAAAGACCCACATGCTACGCTGCTCAGTGGCCTCTCCGACACACAGGTCCCTAGCAGAAAAACACCAGTTAATAAGCTTTTTCTGCAGGAAGAGCAAAGAACGTGTTGTAATGGAAATGAAGAGAAGAGCTGTTATGGGGGGGGGGGTTTCTCTTGGAACTGACAGTAGAGGGAGACCAAGGGACATGGAGCTGGACCACAGCGGACCCAGGCAGTAGCCCACCCACAGGCACCTCCACTCTCTCCTGCCCAGCTCCCACCTGCTACACTCTGCGTCCACACTGGTCTTGCTTCCTACTTCCCTGTCCTCAGGGACTGCGCCCTGGCTGGTCCCTCTGCCGGGACATCACCCCCCCCCCAACACACACATACACGCATACACTGAGATGATTGGTTTTCAGCATCAAGTTTCAGACTTAAAACTGCCTCTGCTAACCTTCCTACATGGTCTGTCCCTGCACACCGCAGCTCCTTTCCTCTCCACTGCGTGGAGAAATGCAAAGACAGCATCTGGTACTTTCCCTTCTGACCTGCAGAACAAAACTCTCTATCTTAGCTTGTGTTGGGCCTCACAGATAGAACAGAAAACAAATGGACCTAGAAAATGAACTAGCCGTACTAACAGAGTACCTACGATTGTTTGTTTCCCTGATGTTGAAAAGATTAGTTTCTTTTTTTTTTTTTAATTTTTATTTAAGGAGAAAAGAGAAGAAAGAAAAAAAAAACAGTGAAGGGGTACAAGTTATACAGATTTACAGAATAAAAAAATGCGCAGTAGGAAATCACTAGTTAATGGATTACATATTGCCATCTTAGAAATAATTGTTCAAGTCACAAAATTAAAGCTTGTAGAGTGGACATTCCAACAATGATACTGCAAACAGTTCTGTTCAATGATCCAATAAAACTCTGTGATATCATTTTCTATCTTATACTTTTAAATATACCTGCAGTTATATAGTTTAGAGCACTTTCTTTTCCTCTCTTTTGTACAGTGACTATTACACATTTTGGGTTTCATTGCTCCCACGGTTCTTGTTGCTTTTTTGGAAGAGAGTAAAACCAAATGTGACATAACAGAACAGAATCGGTCAAGTCAAAAGGGTGGACATAATAGATAATATAAAAACATAATACAAGGTGATCAACAATGGTTACCATAATGCCTCCCGCTATTTCTAATAGAATTGCCTATATCATTAGTTGTAATACAATTGAACAAAACCGTAAAGAATAAAACCGACAAAACCAAAACATTGGAGATATTGTAGGTCTTCAAAAGTAGATAAAAGTCAACGAGAATGGGCGTTATAATGAATCTCATTATCTTCTCAGCTGATGCCTAAACTTTCGAACCTGATACTATCCAGCAAAACAGAATATAGGAACCTCAGTCAAAAACAAGATGGTGAGAGTAATACAGGGCTTCAAATCGAGATAATAGAAAGTCAAAGTGGGTTACTATATTATATCCTGCTATATTTTTCCCTTTAATTAAATGGATAAAAATAAAAAAGTAAATAATGGAGTGGAGATTGAGAAAAAAGAGGGCATAACAGCGAAACAGGGCAGATCAAAACATAACCATTTAAGCAGAATAGTGTTTCACCACCAGCTAATCCTGACCCAAAAATAGTTACCATATTGACTCCCTTCCTGAAGTCCTTGAGTACAACTTCATATACTGTAGCATTAAGTATATCAAAACAATGTAAATCCATTTAAGAGAATGACAGCATTATAGAGTATTTAGAATCGACTAACAGAAAATGAACAATGGTCTCTGTATAATCTCCTTGTCTTTAAAAGGTTTTTTCTTATACTATCGTACATAGCAAAATCCAATAAGATACAACCTGTTTAGACCATTGGAGACAGAAGAACAAAAGCTAGATGAGACTTCAAAACAAGATGGTACTAAATCAGCATTACCTATTAAGATGTCATTTTCTCCAAAAAAAGCTGTTCCTATCATCCAATCTTCTCTGTCTCATTTCTGTTGAGCTCTTTTTCTGTCAGTAGCTGTCAGTTTGTCTTCTTCGTTTTGTTCTCTGCTCTATTCGTTGTGGCCTCCCCGCCCCTATTTCTGGGTTCTTTGTATTTTTCTTTTTTTAGAATATCCTGCAATACTTTCTGTAGGGTTGAATTGGTGGTTGCAAATTCCCCCAGTTCCTCTTTATCTTGGAAGCACCTCGTTTTTCCATCAATTTCCAGGGACAGTTGTGCAGGATATCTCAATCTTGGCTGTAGATTATTATCTTTCAAAGCTTGAATTATTTCTCCCCATGCTCTTCGTGATTTGATGGTTTGTGAAGAGAAATCTGCTGTAATTTTGATGGGTCTTCCCTGGTAAGTGATCTGTTTCTTGTCTCTTACAGCTTTTAATATTCTGTTCTTGTATTGAATTTCTGGAATTTTTATTATTATATGCCTGGGTGCTTCTCTGTTAGGGTTGTAGGTAGCTGGGGTCCTGTATGCCTCATACATTTGAGTATCTTTACCTTTTGCTAAATTAGGAAAATTCTCCTGGATTATTTCTGTGAGTAGCTTTTGTAGTTCACTTGTTTGTGTCCCTACTTCTTCTTTTATGTTCTTAATCCTTAAGTTATGGCTCCTCTTATCATCTTCTTGTCTTTGTATTATTGCTGTGTGTTTCTTTGTTATTTTTAAGAAGTTTTTCATTTCATTCTCCCATGTTTCAAGTCTGCCCTCCAATTCAGATAGTCTGTCCTTAGTTTCTTTCAAGCTGTTATGCCAGTCTTGGGTAGACTTCTTGATTTCTTGATAGTCCCTTTGCACCTGCTTCACATACTCAATGCTTTCTCTGTTTTCTCCATCAAGCAATTCTCCCCTCTTTTTCTGTTCTTCCACTCCACCATCTGCTTTTTCCTGGGTGGTGCTTAGCATTTCTCTAACTATTCTGCATACTTCTAGCTTCAGGTCATTGATAACTTCATTCCTGAATTGGTCTATGAGGCTCTCTAAATGGCGCTTAATGTATATTGGTACAGTGTCCACTATTGCCTGATTCTCAGGATTGGGGGTCGAGGAGCCTTTTTTGTTGCTTCCCTTCCCCATATTTTCTGTTCCTTATAAAATGTAATCTTACACAGGAGGCCCGGCTTCCCTGCCTGTCAGCCACAGCTTGATCAAATTGCGCTGGCTAGTTGTTCCCGCTCACCTCTGCGCCCCAGGGAGTTGCGGAGGAGGCAGCCTACGCGGAAGTTGGTCGCTCCTCCGGGCCACCGTCAGGCTCTGGGATCTGGGTTGGGCCAGCCTAGAGAGTCCGCGAGCAGCGTCCCTCCGGCCAGGCACCTTTCACCAATCCCGTCCGAGAGGGAAACGTGCGGCTGCAGTTGCCACCGCGCCCTGCTCTTACAGGACTGCCCGCGCCCAGAAAATCCTCCGCTGGAGTCAAACTGCGGTAGGGAGTCAGTTCCTCGCTCACCTCGCCACCAGTCAGCCTTCCTCCCTGTCCGTCGCGTTTCCGACTCCGTTCGGAGACTCCCATTCCCAGAGCTCGGCGGTCGCGTTTCTCCTTGCCGAGCAGCTGTGGAGGTAGCTGGGCGCCTGGCGGCGGGAAATCCAAACCGCGGTTTCCAATGGCGCGGAGTCGAGCCTCCACACCGAGATTTTTCTGTTCCTATTTTAGCGCCAGGACTGTATTCCAAGTTGGATTCTCTCAGCCCAGTTCATTCCTGAGTCAGCAGAGCATATCTCTACTGGTTCGTATCTCCTTAGTCCGCATCATTCCTGGCCTCTGAGCCGAGCCTTTAGAGAGCGTTCAGTAGTTGCTGTTGTCTGTCCGCCATGTTCTCCAGAGTCCGAAAAGATTAGTTTCACAGGTGAAAGAGGGGGAGGTTGTAAACACAGAAACTATTTTTTCGCTCTGTTCAAACTATGTTGTCCTATAAGAACATTTCCTAAACTTGGCTCTGGAAAACACCAGTCCAGAAAGGGGGCCCACCAACCTGGCTAGGGAAATCCCGCACCTCACCTAGCTCTTCCAAAGGCCTGAGAAGCCTGCACTGCGCACCCCACCACGGGTCAGCTGTAGGACTCAGACCCAGGGCCCTGCAAACTTATTTACCCACTGGTCCAGAACACATTTACATCCCTGCCACTAGGGGGCGTCCTGCCCACTAATTCCTCCCCAGCCTCTCATTCTCCTGTCACCGTATTTATGAAATCCCGTAGATAAAGATTAAGCAGCGCACTTGGAGACGGGCATCGGGACGTGGGATTTGTAGAAAGGGACATCCCTGCATATTTCTAAGAGGATAGGGTAATGACAAAGGCAGAGGAAAGCCTGGAGCGCAAAGATGCGCATGAGAAGCAATTGCAGAATATGGTGAGAACAGCATGAAGAGCCACCAGGTGTCGCCCTGGTCCCGGTTCTACTTCCCCCAAGTCCAGGGCAGTCTCATCGGTTTTCAGGAATGAGGGGGGAAAATCCATGTCCTAAACTGGCTTCTCAATTTCAGCCTTTTAAGTCTTTCACATCTCCTCATTTTATTTTAAATTCGTATCCTAGGGTGATGGAGTCGGATTTCTTAGACAGGATGTTCATGTTAGTGTTTTTCCTCCCAGGTCAGGGAGGGCTGTGTTCCTCTTGGGAGCCACTGGAGGGAGCCAGAGCTCCCTGGTCTGAGCCCAGGAAAGAAAACCGCCAAAGTTCAAAAAAGGAACCGCTGCTTGGGCAGGAATCTGACCCAGCAGCTCCTTCGGGCGGTTTTGCTCTTCATAATGACTATCCTAAATCACATTTTATATAAGCAAGGGTTGGTGTATTTTTTAAACCAAATAGTTGCCCCCGATAGATAGACGGCTAGGCATCGGTTCTGTGCCTGTCTGTGATAGGAGGAGCTGTTTGCTGGAGAGATGAAATACTTTCAAGAGAAAACAAAACTGCATTCTGATCAGAGGAAGTACTAAAACTGAAATTTAAAAAAAATTTTGAAACCACTTCAAAAACCACAGATATTTTACATCTTATTTCATTTTGATAATCTGATCAAAGGGAAGTTTTGGGGGTTTTTTTGCTTGGTTTTGGTTTTTGGTGGTACTAGGGATTGGACCCAGGGCCTTTGCACTGAGCTAATCCCCAGTCCTTTTTCAATCTTGTATTTCAAGGCAGGGTCTTGCTAAGTCACTAAATCTCACAGGCTGGGCTTCAACTTTCCAGTCCCCCACAAAGCATAGATCAGGGTCTACAAAGCTCATTCTAAACCCAGGATTAATGGGTATTTTTACAAAACAATTGGATAAATGACCCAGTGTCACAGGCTAAGTAAGATCTGGGCTCTGCAGCCTTGATCTTGCTCCACTGTCCAAGGCTCAGATTACAACACGCCTTTTCCAAGAATCACTTGCAGATTTTATTTCCCACTCTCCCCCAGTGACATTTATCTCTTGCTTTCCTTCCACTCTCTCATCCTACCTGTAACATACTGAGAGATTTTATTAATGTATCAGTCTTCCTCACTAAGGCATTTATTTTTCTTTTTCACCTTAGGGTGGTTTCCTCTTTTCTTTCTTTTTTATGCTTTTTGCTTTCTGAAGCAGGGTATCACTATATAGCCCAGGCCTAGGTCTTGAACTCATGGCAACCTTCCTGCCTCAGCTTCCTGTGTGCTGGGATTATAGGTTTGTAGGGCCTCTCCAGTAACTCAAGTGCACCAGCTTCTGTTCTCAGTACTTTGCTTTACAAAATATTACTCACTTAATATTCTGAAGACAAATGCTTATACTTTGCCGAGAAAGATACTAAGAGGTTAAGAAATTGCCCAGCATCACAGACATGGTAAACAGAACCAGGATCTAAACCTAGGCAGTGTGACTCCAAAGCCGAGTTCCTATCCACCAAGTCATGCTACCTCTCCAAGAAGTGTGTTGTGTTACAAACAGTTGCTGAAATTAAACAAAAGAACAAATCCATGGGACCTGCTTTACAGAATCTAATGTTCAAAATACGGTTTTCTGGAAACCTGACTTAAGATTACCATCCAAATCAGCCACATAAATGCTCCAAATCCCGAAATAAACTATTAAGAACCACCCAATAATCCAAGAAGCGCAAGCAGACAGCATACTCACTGGATCCAGATATGTTCAAGGCTTTACATTCTTCGATGTTGGCTTCACTGTCAAAATAGACTTTTATTTTGCCACTGTGAGCTGTATTGTCAAATGTGATCTAGAGACACAAGTAGATTCAGAGGTTTTAGCCCAACAGAAAGTAGGATTTGCTACATCAATCTGTTGAAAAAAATCAGTGGCATTTAGTCTGCTGGCCAAAGACCACTACAGTGATGAAAATCTCAATTCTTTATCATTTTCTATTATTAATGTAAAAAAAAAAAAAAACCAGTGTGAAGGGTGAATACATCAGCTCTCTGTTTCAGAGAAATTCTAAAAAAAAAAATAACTGACTAGTCCCAGAACCTAAAATAACAATTCTCCAATCTGATAGGAGAATGCAATTAGTTGACAATTATTACACCGAATGAAATTTAAAAGCATTTGTTTCAACTTCGTCATCTGTTATATAATTCTAGGTTTTTTACCACCCTGGGCATTGTTTTTCTGTGTGTTCCATGAGCTACATACACATGTGCACACAATGCTTTCAGTGTGGGCCACACTTAGTCATGTGGGTGTGGGCCACACTTCAGATTCCGAGTGATCTTGATATTCCATATTATTGACCATTAATCAATAATTGAACCCATTTAAAGTTTACAAGTGACAAATAGTTTTTAGATACAAGTGCCAAGTAGTTTTTAGAGTGGACATATTAAGAAGCAACGTGACTTCACAACAGAGCTTAGAGGCCCAAACATGGATGTGATTAAATCTACACACACCTGAGCATCATCAAATACCAGCCATGTTTGGTGCTATTCAAGAATATCGTGAAGACATACCAGGGGTCCAACAGCAGCCCCATTTCGATACCCGTCAGCTAGGACAGACCCCACTGATGCTAGCAAGGGGTCTCTTTCTCCAAGATCAGCCCCTAAAACCCTTCCCTCCAGCCTCTGGAACCTGAAGTCCAGGGATATCCAAAAGAACAAACAAACAAACAAAACAGCCAAACATAATGCAATTATTGTAACCCTCCTGGTTGACCATGCCATAACACAGTCATCAGTGTCCACATCCTTGAGGGCCCTACTCCTCCCTGGTCCTCCACTGCCTCTATCCTCGGCCCTCTAGGGGCTCCCTGAGCTGCCCACCCACCCTCCTCACAGAGGTCAATGTAATCTTCTCGACAGAGCTGATGGCAGGAATGCATCCAGGAGCTGCCACATTGGAAACCTTATCCTCCTACAATGGTGATTGGGAGATGGGAGCCATGGGAGATGGACAGATGATGAGGACGCAGCCTTCACAAGCGGGATGACGCCGTCACTAGGGAGGCCAGTGACTGGGAGAGTGGGTTTGCTATAAAAGCAATCCCTCTTATTCTCTCACTATGTGGTGCCTTCGGCTATATTATGACAGGGCAGGAAGGTTCTGAACAAATGCAGCACCTTGATTTTGGACTTTCCAGTCTCTAAAAGTTAAATAAACTTCTACTGTTTACAAGTGTCACAGCCTGTGGTATTCTGTTACGGCAGCAGAAAACTGACCGAGACACCAAATACTGCAATCTGCATTTCCTTTTTTTAACTCTTTCTTTAGCCTTCCAACTGTTCCCACTGCTGGAATATGAGCTTCTGAGGACTGCTGGTGTCTAGAACATAGCAAATGCTTGAAGCACAAAGGAGACTCATAAGTTATTATTTGGTGCTGAATGAAGCACTCGTCTAAATTGCTAAAAGACAGAACATAGAATTTTCAACCAAGCCTCCAGTATAGCCTTTTAACAATCTGAAAGGTAGGTAGGGAGAGAGGAAAGGAAGATTAAAAAAAGGAAGGAAAGAGAAAATAAAGAAAAGAAGGAAAGGGCAAAGCAGCAGACACAAAAATCCCACAAACAGCCTCGCCTACTGTACATGGCACCTCCTCAAATAAAAGGAGAAACCCCTGCTCCTCCACAGACTGGGGAGCTTCTTTAGAAATATTTGCTGTAATATTTGCAAAGACATCCTTCAAAGCTGGGAAATATATTACAGATACTTAAACTATTCGTCATGAATGTTTCTTTTATTATGGTAGGACAGGAGGAAGCCAGTTTGAAAACTCTTGCTGACTCAGAATTCTGGTTTTAACAAGTTTGAAAGGATGTGACATGCGCTGGGAAGCAACAGACTCTGGATCAATGAGTAAACCATCACTAAAACTGTTCTACACACAACGACATCTAAGATTTCTAGGCTGGTGTGTCTTATACACTGCAGCTACAGACGGAATGGAAAACACATGGAAAGTGGTTTACACAACAGAGACACTTGCCGTGTTCTGGAAGACGTAACAATCTGGTAACTCTCGGGAATGGATCGTCTGAAGATCGATGCCTTTGAGGTGAAAGGAGATTTCAACTTTCAAGAGTCTAAATAAAATAAATTGAAAGGTGTGACCTGTCATCATCCACCACTGTACCACTCTCCTTCCCCCATCCGTGTCTCTTAGGAAATGAGACCTGAAAACATATTTACCGGTAAAACTCCATTCTGAAGAAAGCAGACAGCTTCCAGGCCTGAGAGCTCTCGGAGAGGGTCCGGAGATCTAAGTGAACACATTCTAGGGCATCAGGAGAACAAGGAAGGATTGTTTCAGGTAAGAATTGGGTGCTAAAAGCAGCAAATGTCAAGAGAAGTAGGATATTTAGAAAATTTCACAACATTTCCCCTGGAAATATTCACTTAATAAACAGAAGGAACGGCAATCTTTCAGTGAAGAACCTGGCAGACCCACCAACCCACCGACCAAAGTGAATGCCCCGATTGTGAGATGAAGAGCCATCGTGTGCCTCTGCCATGACACACTGTGGAGGGGTCACGTGTGCGGGAGCCCTGCCCTGACTGCATAACCTCAGCCCCATCATGAAAACAGAACACTCGAAGTGAGGGAAATTCTGTTCTTCAAAATATCAGGGTCAGCCTATGGTGGCGGTGCACACCATTCATTACTCCTGCTACTAGTTGAGGCAGGACCATGGAAAGTTTGAGGCCAACCTGAGGACCTCAGCAAGGCACCTGTCACAGAATAACAAAAGAAAAAATAAAAAGGGTCCATGATACACCTCAGTGGTAGAGCACTTGCCTAGCAAGCATGAAACACTGAGTTCAGTCTCCAGCACCTCAGAAATTAAAAAAAAAAATAAGAAGAAAGGAAGAGTCAAAATCATCAAAGAACAAAATCCAAGCAACAACTTTATCTTGCTCCAGATTAAACTAAAGAACATGGTCACTCAATGCAAGATGTGACCTTGGAAAGGATGGGAGGGAGCAGTTTTTCTTTTGGCTACAAAGAACATGAAGACAGTTGATGAGATGATGAGGTGGGGTGAGGGTTTTGGGACTACAGTCTGGCACGATGTTCACTGTCACTCAGCAGTGACCGGTGGTCCCACAGGGGCATGTGTTTTTTGGAGACAAAGCACACTGCATGGGTTAGGGATAGAGAAATTGTATGTGTGCATTTGCAGGAGAAGTAGTAATACAGAGAATGACAAAGCAAATGTGGAGAAGTATTAGTGTTTGGAAAATCCAGAGCAAGAGCATATAGGATTGTCATGGTTTATGTTGGTGACCCCCAGGCCTCACGCATTTGCATTGTGCATTTGTGATTGGTTCATGGTCTAGCACTTGGATTGGGGGTGTGAGTGCTACACTGGCCTAGGGGTGGAGCCAGGATGTAATGTAATGGCAGGAAGAAGGTGTGTCTCGTTCTCTCTTGCTGGTTTCTGCCTTGCTGTTTGCAGCTGCTATGAACTGCGGCCCCGCCATGCCATCCTGCCTTGGAGCCAACTGAGTATGGACTGAAACCTCCAAAAACTGTACAAAATAAACCTTTCCTTTCTCAACTTTGGGCTTCAGGTATTTTGTCTCAGCAATGAGTAAAAAGTAACTAAGACAAGGATATTCCTGGTGCTAACTGCGTACATTGTCTGTTAAGTCTGATGCTTTTCAAAAAAAAGAAAGAAAGCAACTCAGATTGCAAACAAATAAAAACAAATGATGAGGCATGAACTCTTCAAGAATGATTCTGAGATTCTCCCCTAAAAATTGTCTTCTTATTGTATCACTCACCACCCTTGCTTTACATGGTGGTCTGGGGATGACCATCGGTCAGCATCACAGAGACCTGGGGACAGGACTGTGTGAATCCAGCCCCCAGTTCCCACGGGCTGACTGGACCTTCTGTGCTGTCTTTGATGTGTACAGGTCAGAGATTAGTGCAGGGCCTGGCACTCAGTAGGTGCCCCAGGGTACACTGGATGGTTCTCTCTCTCTCTCTCTCAGTGTCACCCTGCAATTTTAACTCCTTTATGTGTTTTCTTAACCCTGGAAGTAGACTAAAGGTCTTGGAAAACAAGAACATAACCGTGTCCGCCTCTCTAAATGCTCACTACCAGCTCCATGGAGCTGACCCTTGAAATACATCCCAAGATGTGGGCCACACATATGTTTACGAAGAGCTAGATGTGCTAGCCCAGGGACACAAGGCTGAACAGAAAGTTTAACAGAGACAATGTGCTAGGTAGGGTTTTCTATATTCTCTGTATTTATGTTTTGTTCTATTTAACCCTCAAAGCAGCCGTGGGAGACAGGCACAACTGCTGTCATTTTACAGATGAACCAACCAAAGCACATAAAGGCCATGAAACTTTAGGCAACCAGCTGGCACCCATTTATAACTTAAATACACCTGACCCTGAGCACCACTGAGGGCTGATCTCTAAGCACGATGCTAGAAGAACATCAAGAGTTTTTCATTCACTCACTCATTCATTCATCCAAATTACTGAAAATCCGGCACTATTCTAGACACTAGAAGAAAAGCAATGAACAAGCTGGGTACGGAACTCATATACTGGAAAGACACAAAAGTATCATTTAGAAAAAAAGATAATTCCACAGTGTGAGAAGTACAGACAGAGAAAAGTGATCAAGTCTATTGGAATAGCCATGGCCAAAGAAAACTGGTCACAGAATGACTGTTGAGGTATAAAAATTTTGAGCTGAAATCTCTGTCTGAAGGAAAAAGAACTTGCTATGTACAAGTCCAAGTAGGAAAAACTCAAGCCATAAAGAAGCCACACAAGACAGAGGGAACAGAAAGAAGGCTAGAACAGAGGATTCAGCCTGGAGCTGTCAAGAACTTAGAGAGGCAGGTGGGTGGCCAGATCCCAAGGGGACTCAGAGATTTAACTCTAAATGGAATAGGAAGCCACTAACACTTTTGAAGCCAGGAAGTGGTATGGCTCAACTTACTTATTTCAAAAATGCCACTCTGGTTATTGTGGGACAGAGCAGGGTACAGGAAAGATCTGACCAAGCAGGGAGACCAGTCTAAGTAACGAGAGGCATGCACTAAGGTGGCAACAGGGAAACAGATCAACTGATATATTCAAGCATGGAGTCTGGGCAGTTGGAAAAATTAGTGTATGATACCAAAATGTACCTGTCATTTCCGAAGGTGGGGAACACTAAGAAAGATAAAGCTTGGGAAAGTAGGGAGATGGGAAGGTCTGAAATGTTCCTTCACAGTGGAGTTGTCAAGCAACTAGTGGGATAGACGAGGATCTGGAGCTCAGCACAATGCCCAGGGGAGAGGGCTGAATCTAGGTGGCTGAGAGCAAGGGTCTGGCTTCTCAGAGATCGCAAGGGATGGTCACAAGTGCACAGGTGATGCTTTGAATTGTGGTGTCCCCTCTGTGACACGGCATAAAGGGTGAACAGAAGCAATGCAAGGAGCTTCAAAGATGTGGTGGCCAGAGACAAGGGTGTTCTGCCCTAGCACACCCAGGCAGCCTCTCCAGGGGCAGCAACATGGGATGGAGGAGACTAGGGACAACTGACAGTAGAGAGGAGCCAAGAGAGAAAGCAGAGGGAGGCCCCTTGACAGCTTTTGTGAGGAAGTACCACTGGTGGCAAAGATGTCTCAGCCATGTACAGAAGGCGTAAAAATCAGGTGGCAGTGGACAGTGGAAAGGAGCTAAAGTCAGTTATACAAGATGTCACTGGAAGGTCAAAGACCTTTGGTAGGAAGAGTGCTTGCCTAGCATGTGGGAGGCCCTGGTTTAGCCTCTAGCATCCCAAAAAGATGAAAACTTTAGTTGGAGTCAAATCAGTGCTTGAAAACTGTGATGTGCAGAAATCACTATGAATCTCGTTAAGATGAACATTTGATTGAGTCATTCAACGGTGGAGCCTGAGATCGTCAGGGAGGTTCACGGTGCTGGTATTAGAGCAGCCATTACTGCCACTAAATCATTACCTGACCTAGGCTCGGTTACTTAGCAGTGGCTTCCTCAGCTATACAAGGAAGGCCATGCTGATGATATTTAAGGGCCTTCTACCTGCAATATTCCTATTCCAAGGGGAATTAAAGGAATAACAGATAAACAGATCTCAGAGAACGACTGCATTGTAAAAGAAGTAACACACTCAAGATCCTCGTGCCAGACACAGTGATGGGATGTTTTCTCCTTTATTTCATTTACTCTAAGATGCATATTACTTTATTTTAAACATCTCTAAAGCAGTTGTAGTTCCTTTTCTGATTGATTGCATCTTAGATCAGAGAAATCTGATAGACTTTTGTCAGCTGTTTGCATAGCTCCCTGAAGTCTGGCTGACCTTATGCTACAGTCATTGCTACTGAGGTCACCAGCATCCAGTGGCAGCAACACTAAAATTAAAAAAAAGAAAAGAAAAAAAGAAGAATTTAAAAGCCCTAAGTAAAATATCAAAATTTCAGAAGAACACACTGATATCTAGAATAAGAGCCTTATTCCTCAAACAAACCTCATGGACAGAGGGTAACACTCCAGCCAATGAAGTAACAACTCTTTCAGAGGGTGCAGAGATTAAATATATTCCTACAGCAGGGAGAAAAATGACAGCATTAGTCATCAAGTCTCTTCTAAAAACATATGGAAATAAAAACATAAGAAAATCAAAAACTATTACAGAAAATAAAACACCATAAAGGTGAACATCCCTAATGCAAAAATAAGAAATTTAAAATGCTCTGAAATGTGAAACTTTTTCTTTTTTAATTTTTGGTACTGGGGATTGAGCTCAAGGCTTTCATGCTGAGCTACATCCATGGCTATTGTTTTAAAACTATTTTTAAATGACAGAGTCTTGCTAAATTGCCCAGCCTGGGCTTGAACTTGGAATTCTCATGCCTCAGCCTGACCAAGGACTGAGATTACAGCACTGAAAGCTTTCTGATGCCACCAGTAGAAAATTCTTCACCTAACTTCATATGACAAGTAACAGTCAAAATGTAGGTGCTCTAAAAATATTATATGAAATTACCCTCTGGTTATGTGCATGACATATAAAAAACATAAACGAATTTTATGTTTGGACTTGTGTCTTATCCTCAAGATTTTTTTTGCATTATTCCCAAACTTTCCTCCCCACAAAATTCAAAATCTGAAATACTTGTGTTCTGAGGCATTTTGGATCAGCAATTCTTACCTGTATGAAAATAATGTCCACTTAACTCTTAGCAGAAATCTTTCTACAGGATTTATAATCATTTTTTCAGTAAGGCTGAACTAG